TGGCGGGATGCGAACCTTGTCTTTGGGGCCGTCCGTGGATGTCCTTGCGGGCCACGATCCGTGTGACAGGTGTGCCGAAGTGAGCGGGCCGATGTTATGAAGCCCCCCTCTGGTGCCGCAGATGCATTTAGTTGCGGGGCACGGTCCGCGTAGGGGGCGTGCCCCTGTGCGAACCTCGTCTCTGGGGATGTAATCACGTGGGTCTCCCTGTGGGACGCGATGCCCGTGAAGGGTGTGCCGGCATGGGCGGCGGGACCCTCAGCCAAGCTTGTCTGAGGGGCCGCACGTGGAGCCCCCTGAGGTGCACGATCCCTGTGACAATAAATGTTATCCGATGCCGAAGACTTTAAACTACAGCTGGAGCACGCTGGAACCTAAGCGCGTGCGAAGCGCGCGTGGTTCTAGTCCATTTATATGTTGCAAACTGCTTGCGTATGCTCGCGGCACTACGGCGAATATATAATAACCACCCGCCCGCCATCTGTGTAATTGTTGCCGTCTTTGCAAGCCCGTCGCCAAGGCAAGATTTGCAAGTCGAGAACGGCTCGCAATTCGAGAACGACTTGCGAAGTCCCGGGCGCTACTCCCAGCCCGCCTTCCCGATTCACGGGGCGGTGCAACGAAGAAGGGTTATTACGTATAGGCAAGAGGGATGGATGATGAGGAGAAGGGAAGGACAGGGAGAGGGACGAGCAGACGGGCACGGATGGGGAGCAGGGGGATGAAGAACATAATAAGCAGTGACATGATAAAGCGGAAGGAGGGGGCGGGGGACCAGGGTTTTCCCAAACGGTCTTCCCAAACCAACTGTTGCGAAATCAGGCCGCCGGGTCTTCCCAAACCTAAGCCCGGGGTCTTCCCAAACCAAACGGGTCTTCCCAAACCAACGCCCCCAGGTCTTCTCAAACCAACCGGGTCTTCCCAAACCAACGTGCCGTGTCTTTCCAAACCAACCGGGTCTTCCCAAACCAACCCCTGGGCCTTCCCAAACCAACCGGGTCTTCCCAAACTAATTCCCCGGGTCTTCCCAAACCAAACGGGTCTCTTCAAACAAGCATTCTGGGTCTTCTACAATTGAGGGTGTTTTCAAATCCTTATAGAACCCAGAGGGAAGGCCTAGCCTAGGCCTACCCCTAGGCCTACCCCCTAGGTTTACCCTAGGCCGACCCCTAGGCCTACCCCCTAGGCCTACCCTAGGCCTACCCCTAGGCCTTCCCCCTAGGCCTACCCTAGGCCTGCCCCTCGGCCTACCCCCTAGGCCTACGCTAGGCCTACCCCTAGGCTTACCCCCTAGGCCTACCCTAGGCCTACCCCTAGACCTACCCCCTATGGCCTACCCCTAGGCCTACCCCCTAGGCCTTCTCCTAGGCCTTCCCCTTAGGCCGACCCTAGGCCTACCCCTGGGTCTACCCCTGAGGTCTACCCTGCCTGCCCGACCCGACCGCTCGTTAGGGCCCGCCCGCCTGACCCGACCCGACCAGCCCATTAGGGTCCGCCCGATCCGACCCGCCCGTTAGGGCACTCGCGTGCCAACTCGATCATGTACCACACTTGAATGCCCCCCCCGCCCGACCCGACCCGCTTGCTTGGGTCCGCCCGCCCGACCCGGCCCGACCCGCCCGTCAGGGTCCGCCCGCCCGACCCGACCCGACACGTCCGTGAGGGCACTCGCGCGTGAATTCGATCATGCACCACGCTTTAATGTCCCGCCCGCCCGACCCGACCCACCCGTTAGGGTCCGCCCGCCCGACCCGACCCGACCCGCCCGTTGGAATCCCCCCGCCCGACCCGACCCGACCCGACACGCCCGTTAGGGTATTCGCGTTGATGTCCCCCCCGCCCGACCCGACCCGCATGTTAGGGATCCTCACGCCCGACCCGACCCGACCCGCCCGTTAGGTTCCGCCCGCCCGACCGGACCCGACCAAACCCGCCCGTTAGGGTTCTCGCGTGTCAAATCGACCGTGCACCACCACACGTAAAGTATCGCCCGCCCGACCCGACCCGCCCGCTAGGGTCCGCCCGCTCGACCCGACCTGACCCACTGCCCATTGAGGTCCGCCAGCCCGACCCGACCCGACCCGCCCGTTAGGGTTCTCGCGTTTGAACTCGATCATGCACCACACTTTAATGTCCCGCCCGCCCGACCCGACCCGCCCGTTAGGGTCCGTCCGCCCGACCCGACCCGACCCGCCCGATACGGCCCGCCCGCCCGACCCGACCCCACCCGACCTGCCCGTTAGGGCTTTCGGCTGCGAGTTCTATCATGCACCACATATTAATGCCCCGCCCGCCCGACCCGACCCGCTCGTTAGGGTCCGCCCGCCCGACCCGACCCGGCCCGCCCGTTAGGGCTTGCCCGCCCGGCCCGACCCGACCCGCCCGTTAGGGTCCACCCGCCCGACCCGACCCGACCCGCCCGTTAGGGTCCTCGCGTTTGAATTCGATCATGCGCCACACTTTAATGTCCCGCCCGCCCGACCCGACCCGCCCGTTAGGGTCCGCCGCCCGACCCGACCCGACCCGCCCGTTAGGGTCCGCCCGCCCGACCCGACCCGACCCGCCCGTTAGGGCACTCGCTCGTGATCTCGACCGCGCACCACAGTTTAATGCCCCGCCCGCCCGATCCGACCCGCCCGTTAGGGTCCGCCCGCCCGACCCGACCCGACCCGCCCGATAGGGCCGCCCGCCCGACCCCCGACCCGGCCGTTAGGGCTCTCGCGTGTGAACTCGATAATGTCCCACCCGCCCGACCCGACCCGCCCGTTATTTTCCGCCCGCCCGACCCGACCCGACCCGCCCGTTAGGATCCGCCCGCCCGACCCGACCCGACTAGCCCGTTAGGGTTCTCGCGTGTCAACTCGATCATGCACCACGATGTAATGTCCCGCCCGCCCGACCCGACCCGCCCGTTAGGGCCCGCCCGCCCGACCCGGCCCGACCCGCCCGTTAGGGTCCGCCCACCCGGCCCGACCCGATCCGCCAGTTAGGGCACCCGCGCGTGAATTCGATCATGCACCACACTTTCATGTCCCGCCCGCCCGACGCGACCCGCCCATTAGGGTCCGCCTGCCCGACCCAACCCGACACGACCCGCCTGTTAGGGTCCTCGCGTGTCAACGCGATCGCGCACCGCACTTTAATGCCCCGCCCGCCCGGCCCGACCCGCCCGTTAGGGTCCGCCCGCCCGGCCCGACCCGACCCGCCTGCTTGGGATCCTCACGCCCGACCCGACCCGACCCGCCCGGTAGGGTTCTCGCGTGTCAATTCGACCATGCACCACACTGTAATGTCCCGCCCACCCGACCCGACCCGCCCGTTATTTTCCGCCCCCCCGACCCGACCCGACCCGCCCGTTAGGGTCCGCCCGACCCGACCGACCCGCCGTTAGGGCATTCGCGCGCGATTTCGATCGCGCACCACATCTTAATGTCCCGCCCGCCCGACCCGACCCGCCCGTCACAGCCCGCCCGCCCGACCTGACCCGAACTGCCCGTAGGGCCCGCCCGCCCGACCCGACCCGACCCGACCCGCCCGTTAGGGTACACGCGCGTGAACTCGATCATGCACCACACTTCAATGTCCCGCCCGCCCGACCCGACCCGCCCGTTAGGGCCCGCCCGCCCGACCCGACCCGACCCGCCCGTTAGGGTCCGCCCGCCCGATCCGACCCGACCCGCCCGTGAGGGCACTCGCGTGTCATTTCGATCATGTCCCACCCGCCCGACCCGACCCGCCCGTTATGGCCCGCCCGGCCCGACCCGACCCGCCCGATAGTGTCCGCCCGTGCGGCCCGACCCGACCCGCCCGTTAGGGCCTTCGCGTGCGAACTCGATCATGCACCACGATGTCATATGTCCCGCCCGCCCGACCCGACCCGCCCGTTAGGGTCCACCCGCCCGATCCGACCCGACCCGCCTGTTAGGGTCCGCCCGCACGACCCGACCCGACCCGACCCGCCCGTTAGGGCACACGCGTGTCATTTCGATCACGCACCACAGTTGAATGTCCCGCCCGCCCGACCCGACCCGCCCGTGGTGAGGGGGCCGCCCGCCCGACCCGACCCGCCTGTTAATGATCCTCCCCGCCCGACCCGACCCGACCCGACCCGCCCGTTAGGGTTCTCGCGTGTCAATTCGATCATGCACCACACTGTAATGTCCCGCCCGCCCGGCTCGACCCGCACGTCCGGGTCCACCCGCCCGAGCCGACTCGACCCGACAATCCCGTTAGGGTTTCCGCGCGTGAATTCGATCGTGGACCACACTTCCATGTCCCGCCCGCCCGACCCGACCCGCCCGTTAGGGTCCGCCCGCCCGACCCGACCCGACCTGCCCGTCGCCGGCGTCGTCGTCCTCCTCTTCCTCCTTGTGTTTGCGCTCTCGTTCCCGGCCGCGTTCTCGCATTCCTTTCGCCTTTGTCTCCGCTCTCGTTCTCGCATTCGTTCTCGCCTTCGTTTCGTCTTTGCTGCCACCTCGTTATCGCATTTGGTCTCGTCTTCGTTTCTCTTTCGTTCGCGTTCTCGTTTTCGTTGTCGCCTTCCTTTCGGTTTCGTGCCGTTGTCGTTTCCGACAGCATTCTCGATTTCGTGTTCGCCTTTGCTTCCCTTTCGTTTCTCCGCGGGTGCATTCGCTTCCCTGGTCGCGCGGAACGTGGCAGACTACGCAGGAGCACGGCTGAACACGCAGGCGCACGGCAGACCAAACATATTCGCGGCCGACCAAGCAGAAACACGGCTGACGATGCAGGGGCAGGGCGGAGCAGGCAGGATCACGGCTGATCGCGAAGGAACAGGGTAGAACACAAAGCAGTACGGCAGAGCACAGCGGACCACCTCCGTAGCCATTTTGGCTCAAGGCCATGGAGCACCCGACGACCGCAAGTCGTCCGCGACGTTCTGAGCGCGAGGGTCTCCTCGCTTCGGGCCAGTGCGATTCGTTGTTTCGCTCCCTGATGTGCCCGCGCGGAGGCGCATCCTGTCCGCCGGTGCGGCAGTGGCCATGGCGCGCCCCCTGCGCTGCGGCGGCGGTGGCAGCAGGCGCAGCAAGACGCACTGGATGTGCAGCTGCGGTGGTTGGAACTGGGACTGGCGTGCCACGTGCCTCGGCTGCGGCTACACGGCACCGCCGTGGGTGCTGGATGCCGCTGCCGCCCGGGCCAGGCCCCAGGCGGACAAGGACGGCTGGGTGGACCAGCCACGAGGGCGCCGCGCCCAGAGGCAGGCCCGCGGCGCGGCGGAGAGTGCGGCTTCCACCGGGTCGCAGACCTCGGCGTCGGGCGACAGCGGGACGCCCAGCGGCGGTGGCGCCACGGCGATCGAGAGGCTGCAGGCAGCGGTCGAGCAGCTGGAGGCGCTGCAGGCGGGCCGCCCGACGGCGTGGACAGCTGCTTCACCGACGTCGTCGCCAGCCAGCTGGGGGCCAAGCGCGCCGAACTGGACGCGGCCCAGAGGGCAGCAGCGGAGCAGAAGGCGTCCTCCCTGCCGCGGTCAACGCTGCTCCGCAAGGAGGCGAACGCCAACAGCAAGGGAGAGAGGCGGCTCCGTGCCGAGCGCCAGAGCCTGGAGCAGAAACAGGCAGCGCGCGACCTCGCCGAGGCCCAGCCCCAAAAGGCGCAGCAGGAGCTGGCGCAGCTCGACGCGGAGCTGGAGGAGGCATCCTGTGCTGTCCGCGCCCTCGAGGAGGACGCCCGCGCAGAGGCAGAGGCGCTGCGGCGGCAGCGGGCAGCCGAGTGGGCAGGATCCAGCGAGGTCCCTGGGCTCCTCGCGCAGCTGGACAAGCTGCCCGAGGCGTGGGGGTCCAGCAACTTCGAGGTGGCATGGGCAGCCATTCGTGCCCAGGTGGAGGCCGCGCGCACGCTGCTCGCCCAAACCCCTGCTGCACCAAGGAGGGCGCCATGGGCTGAGTCATGCCCCATGGAGGAGGTCAGCAGCGAGGACGGCACCCACGCAGGAGCTGCCGAGCCCTGGCAGCCGCAGAGCGCCGCGGAGCGCGGCCAGGCAGAGCGCCGCGGCGACGCCCGCGGCGAGTGGCCGAAGGCCGCCCAGGCGTCCAAGCGGGAGCTGGTGGCCGAAGCTGCTGACCCGGCCCCTCTTGCTCCTCGCCCTGCTGGGCCCGCAGCCAGGAGTTGCAGCGGAGGTTCGAGGCCAGGGCAGTCGTGCATTTAGCAGCACCAGAGCGTCTGAGCCGAGGCAGCGTGCGAGCGGCGGCGCCGACGCGGCCCGCATTGGAGGCCAGCGGCCCCTCGGCCTCGGGAGGGCGCGGGGGCCGCAGGCGCCAGGCCAAGCGGCAACGGCAGCACTGGATGTCCGATGTGGGCTCGAGGTGCCCGGGGTCAACGGCAACGCGTGGAGGAGGAGCCTGGAGGTCATTGAGGCCTTCATCGCTCGGCACGGCGCCAGGCCGCACCTGGTCATGCTCCAGGAGACCCGCCCGGCCCCGCCCCGCCTGGAGGAAGCCGGGAGCGCTGCGCGGCGCATGGGGTGCACGGCGTTATTCCACGCGGCAGCGCCCACGGACAAGGAAGGCCCGCTCGCGAACTCAGGCGGCGTGGCGACCCTGGTGCGCAGTGGCCTGCAGGCAGCGGAGAGTACGTGGACGGCGCCGAGTGACTTGAGGCATCGCATGATCGGGGTCACTATCACCACGGCGTCAGGGCTGCAGTTCCTGGCATGCTCGCTGTATTTGCAGGACGCCCTGGGGCCCAAGGGCATAAACCTCGACATCTTCGCCGCCTTCGGCGACATGGTGCTGTCCGAGGGCATGCCGTGGCTCGCGCAGGGCGACTTCAACATGGGGCCAGGCACGCTGCGCGAGCTGGGCTGGCCACGGGTGCAGCGCGGCACGTACCTGGGGCCTGCCGAGTGCACATGCGTAGCTCAATGTGCGGAACATGTGTACGACTGGTTCGTGGGTTCCTTCTGCCTGGCCCACGGCGTCAGAGAGGCCTCAGCTCTGGATGGCTTTGGGCTGTGCCCCCACAAGCCTGTGAGGCTGCTGCTGCAGGATTTGAGACCCGACGCCCTGGTGCAGGTGCTGGTGCGTCCTGGTCGCTTCCCTGATGTCGACGCAGCTGCGTGCCGTCCCCATGAATATGCAGCAGCGCAGGTAACACCGCCGCGTGGGGCGCACCCGCTGGCGAGCGGAGCCCTGCAACTGGACCTGGGAGGTAGGCTCCCAGCCGAGCGACGCCTCCGAGGCCGCTCAGCAGTGGATCCAAGCCGTGGAGAGCACCTTGGTGGGAATCTACGGCATCGACGACACCGACCTCCCCATGTACCTGGGGCGATCTGCAGGGCCTAAGGTTGTCCTCAAGCCCCTCAGCGCCGTGGTCAAGTGCGAGCACCGCCACCGGCACTCGGCCCTCACCCACGCCATCCGCCAGGCCCTCGACGTCGCTCTCCAGAGGCTCACCGCGGGCAAGACGAAGCGGTGGCAGCCCGCGCACGAGGCCTGGTACGAGCGGCAGGTCGAGCGGGCCCTCGCCGACGCGGAGGCTACCACGGTCGCTGCCTGCGAGGAGGACGAAGTCGAGGCCCTCGATTTCGACACTGGCGAGTGGGGCGACCTCGTTAGCCAAGCTGGCCTTCATGGAGACCCAGAGGCGATTGCAGTGCTGCAGCGGCGCCTCGCATGTTCCCAGAGGCGCGACGGATGCGCCAAGGAAGCGGTGCAGAAGGGTGGCAGGCTGGCCCATGATTCGCCAAGGCAGTGCCGCCCCCGCAGATACTCGACCCCGACACTGGCAGGCCCTTGGCTGGCATGCTGGCAGTCGGGCAGCTGGAGGCCAACTGGCAAGCCCTCTGGCAGCAGGAGGGCTTCCAATCGGGTGCTGGAGTCGGCAGCTGGGATGTCCGAGGAGCGAGCTTGCCCCCCCTCAGCCTGGAGATGCTGCAGGCTGTCTGCAGGCGCTATTCACCTACGGCAGGCCTGGGGGCAGACCAGCACCACCCGCGGCAGCTACTGCTGCTCCCAGTGGCCCTGCAGTTGCGATGCCTCGACCTCCTGGAGGCATATGAGGAGCGGCCCCAAGCCTTGGGCGCCCAGGCCACCATGATGGTCTTCATTCCCAAGGCAGACGGAGGAGTCCGACCGATTGCGCTGACCCCGCTGTTCATGCGCATCTGGAGCCGCCTGAGACAGCCAATCTGTGCGCTGTGGGAGGCGGAGCACGACCGCCGTTTCTTCTGGGGCAAGGCAGACCGCGGATGCGAGAAGGCGGGCTGGCTGCACAACGCCTTTGCCGCCTTTGCGCGAGAGAATGGGTTTGCCGCCGCCAGCCTCTTCCTGGACATCACCAAGTTCTACGAGAACCTGCGGCACGACGTCCTGTGGCAGTGCGGGATCGAGCGCGGCTTCAACCTGAAGTTGCTGCGTGGCCTGCGCGTGCTCTGCCAGAGCCCGCGTTTCATTTGCTTCGTAGGCATGGCCACCGAGTCCTCCACCACCAGCGGGACGGTCCTGGCAGGGTGCGCGTGCGCAACCACGGTGGCCAAGCTTCCCGTGCTTGCGGCCCTCCGCGCTGCCTCGGCGGGAGGCAGGCCGCTGGCGGTGGCGCGCAACGTCGTCGATGACATCGCGCTGCAGGCCGTCGGCACGGAGCGTCTGGTTGCTGCGCAGCCAGGTGCAGCTGGGCTGGAGGTGGCGCGCGTCCTCCGCAGCCAGCACCTGCCCATCAGTGCCGCCAAGACGACCTTCCTTGCCTCGAGTCCCAGCCTGGGGCGCCAGCTGGGCGAGTTCTGGAAGTCGCAGGGCTGGACCTTCCGTAAGACCTTGCAGGCCAGGAACCCCGGCACGGACGCCACCATCACGAGGAGGGGAGTGCACGGGGGCCGAGTACGAGCAGCTGGTGCACTGTGCCGCGCACGCAGGCTGGGCTGCTTGCGAGCTGCAGGCGTGGAGGTGGACCTCATCCACAAGGCTGGGCCCACAGCCAGCAAGGTGTGGGGGCGCACAGTCACATGCATCGCGGACGGTGAGCTGCACAGCTGGAGGCTCGCCGCGTGCCGCAGCGCAGGAGCGCCCCCCATGGGCGCGGCGCTTGGGCTCCGCATGCGATGCGCCGAGCTCAGAAGGAGGCGCGACCTTGACCCTGCAGTCCTCACGACTGGCCATGCAGTCCAGATGCTGGCGAGCCTCCTGCAGTCAGCCGAGCTGCCACACAGGATGATGGCGCGGGGGCTGGAGGCAGCGGCAGCCAGGCATGCAGCTGCCGACACACTGTGGAAGCACTGCGCCTCCCCCATCGACGCGGCGGTGCTGACCCTCGCTCGGATCGGCTGGCACTTCAAGTCCGAGCGCTTCCTCGTCACGGACCTCGGCGACGAGCTCGACCTCTTGCTCCTCGGGCCTCGTGGGCTAGGGCTGGAGGCTGGCCTCGGCGCCAGGCGTGCCTCCCATCGCCATGAGATGCGGAAGCTCAGCCACGACCCCCTCCTGCAGCGGCCCCTGTACTGGGACGCCATCGGGCGGCTGCTCGGGCCAGACAGTGAGCTGAGCGTGAGGGGGCAGAATGCGCTGGGGGCCTACATCTCCAACACGCACTGGACGCAGGCTAGGCTCTTCGACGCAGGAGAGCGAGGGCACGCGTGCTGCTTCCGCTGTCGGGCCGAGAGAGGCACCTTGCGGCACCGCCTGTTCGAGTGCCCGTTCTGGAGCCCCAGCGGCGCGATGGAGTGTCCGCACGGCTAAAGAGGTGTGCGGAGAGAGCGCGGGCCCACGGGGAGTGCTCTGGCGAGAACATCGCCTGCTGCTGGTTGCCTGCCCCAGCGCCGCCCCAAGGTCGCCGCACTGACGCCATGTGGGCGCAGTGGGTCAGCAGGCCAGCCGACGAGAAGCTCAACGGCAAGCTGTACCTGGACGGCTCGGCCCTTGAGCCGCAGTTCGGTGCCCTTCGCCGCGCGGGATGGGCCATTGCACAGTGCGACGACGATGGCAACCTGGTCGCAGGGGTCTACGGCACCGTCAGGCGAGACCTCTGCCCGCAGCAGACGGCCAAGGACGGCGAGGACCTCGCAGCGTGGATGCTCGCCACCTCTGCAGGGCCAGCAGTTGAGGAGGTCAACATCGACTGCAGCTCCACCGTGACCTGCCTGCGCAGGGGGCGTGCTTACGCGACCAAGCCCAGCAGGGCCAACGCCCATCTGCGGGGCAGGATCCTGGCATGCCTCGAGCCAGGGACCTTCGCTGTGAGGAAGGTGCCAGCCCACTGCTCAAGGCAGGCGGTGCTCGACGGGCGCCTAACGGAGGCCCAGCGGCGCGGCAACGAGCATGCTGACCGCCTCGCCAAGATGGGGGCCCTGATGCACGCAGTGGACAGGCAGACGGTCGGCGAGCACCACGCGCGGGCGGAGATCGTGCTGGAGCTAGGGCGCTGGATCAGTCGGGCAGCCATCCTCTGGCAGGACATCGCGGCCAAGGACTGTGAAGGGCTGCCGCCTGCAGCTGGGCGACGCCGGGTCCGCTTCGCCGCTGCGGAGGCGCCGCGGGCAGCAGAGGAGGCCGCTAGCCTAGCGCCGAGCGCCAAGCGGCCGCGCCTGGAGAGCGCCCGCTCGGCAGGCAGCAGCACAGCCGCCCTCTCGGCCAGCGCTGCAGCCTTCAGCATCCTGGGGCACGCCCTCGCCTACGCCTGCTCGGGAGAGGGGGGCGGAGCCCAGGAGCTCGTGGCGTGCACCAAGTGCGGCGCCTACATGACGCTGGGAAGTCGCAGTCGCTCTGGCGTTAGGCCCCGCCTCAAGGAGCGGTGCCCAGGCGACAAGGCCGACAGAGGTGGCAGGAACCAGCGCAGCCTATGGCTTCGGGGACTCCATCCTGGCGGCAGGAGGCAAGAGGGGTCCCGTACTGCCAGGCACAGAGTGGAAGGAGAAGGCATCCCTGCTCTGCGCTCGCAGGGGCCACTGCCTGAGCATGCGCAGGAGCAGTGCCTGGAGTGGCTCGGCATTGCGGCCGAGCCAGAGGTCGGCCCCTCGGCTGCGGCGAGCTCGGCAGGCAGCGCCTCCGCGGCGGCCGCAGCGCCCACCGAGGTGCAGGGCCCTGCGTTGGCGACCGCAGTCGCGCCCGCGGCGGCCGCCGACGCCAGCCTGCCTCTGCGACGGCCAGCTGCGGAGCGGGCGGCCCTCCTCGGGGCTTTCGGGGTCACGGAAGAGGAGCGCGGCCGTGGCAGTGGTCGGGGCCCTGGAGGACCGCAGGGCACGCCGCCGCATCGCCCGCCGTGGCGCGCAGGCCGTGAGTGAGTGAGTGAGTGAGTGAAACAGTGCATCGTTGTGGCCTGCGCGTGCTGCTCCCATAGGTGAGTAGGCTTCCGCCGCCCTCGGTGCCCGCCTGGCTCGGCCTCTTTCGGGGGCGCGGGCCCCGTCTGGGCCTGCCTGCGTTCTGGCCGCCACTTGCCTTTAAGGCCCCGTCTTTAACTTTAACTTTAGCACAGAGGACCACCGCAGACCACGCAGCAGCACGGCAGAGCATGCGGGAGCACGGCAGACCGCCGGGAGCACGGCAGACCAAACCAGCGGGTCTTCCCAAACCAAACGGGCCTTCCCAAACCACCCGGGTCTTCCCAAACCACAACGGCCGGGTCTTCCCAAACCAACTGGGTGTTCCCAAACCAAACCGGGCCTCCCAAACCACCCAGGTCTTCCCAAACCACAGAGGCCCGGGTCTTCCCAAACCAACCGGGTCTCCCGGGTCTTCCCGAACAACAACGGCCGGGTCTTCCCAAACCAACCGGGCCTTCCCAAACCGAACGGGCCTTCCCAAACCACTTGGGTTTTCCCAAACCACAACGGCCGGGTCTTCCAAACACCGGGTCTTCCCAAACCACAACGGCCGGGTCTTCCCAAACCGAAGCTCTGCGTCTTCCCAAACCCTAAGCCACGAGAGCAGGCGGGGTTTCCCAAACCACCACGGGTCTTCCCAAGCCAAACCGGGTATTCCCAAACCACAACGGCCAGGTATGCCCAAACCAACTGGGTCTTCCCAAACCACAACGGCCGGGTCCTCCCAAACCAACCGGGTCTTCCCAGACCAACCAGATGTTCCCAAACCAACCGCGTCTTCCCAAACCAACCGCGTCTTCCAGAACCACGAGGCCCGGGTCTTCCCAAACCAACGGGGTTTTCCCAAACCAACCGGATCTTCCCAAACCAACCAGATCTTCCCAAACCGAATTTTGGGTCACCCAAACCAAAGTTTGGCTTGGGAGGACCCGTTTGGTTTGGGAAAGACGCCACTCCGAGGGGGGCGGTAACGGAAATTGGGAGGGGGAAAGGGGGGGGCAACGGAATCGGTGAAGGAGGGTCAGAACAGGGAGGACGATGGAGAAGGAATTGGAGAATCAGGACGAGGAGCAGTGGGCGTACGAGGAGAAGGAGCAGGAGGAGGATGAGCAGAGGGGGCAAGATCAGGATGGACGGGGGAGCACACGGCGCAGGAGAAGAAGGCCATCCCCTTTCCTGCCTTTCTTCGCCATGATCCCCTCCCTTCCCCCGCCCCTACCAGTTTCGCCCCCCTCTCCCCATGGAACTCCCCATTCCTCTCCTCCAAGCCCGTTCCAATCCCCCCCATCACCAGTGTTTCTTGTAGATACCTCCTCCCCGTGGCACCACCAGACGTGCCAGCATGGCGGGCCTGGCGTTTCGCCTGAAACGTTCGCAATTGAAAGTTTGACTTTTGCACCAGCTTCAAGAATGGAGGGCGGGTGGTTTTTGAAATTGTGGCTCTCGCCTGAGCGCCGCCTACATTCGTCCTAAAACATCGCAACAGTTTCAAGGATGGAGGGCAGCTGCTGCCCAAAAGGTGCCTCTCGCCTGAACGTGTAAAGGTTATGACGTTTTCACAATAGGAGGGCGGCTGGGTTTCAAATGCGGCTTTGGCCTTCACACCGCGCGCAGCCGTTCCAAAGTTTGAACCAGCTTCGAGGACGGAGGGTGGCTGTTTGTGTAAGTGTGGCTCTCGTCCTAGCGCTGCGTTCACTCGTCCGTTCCCCAGGAACGATGTTATGGCACGGTTTGGGATCGTCCAAATTCATCAGCCACGTCAGTTCACGGCGTTGAGATTCTAGGGGTTGCTTTCTGGCACGATTGGGGAGTATCAAGCGGTTGTCTCCAAACGGGGCACTTCCCGCAATGAAAGTAAATTCTTGTAGGGGGCTATGAAGAGGGAATGCGGAGGGACGGTGTATTGCAACATCGTTGGTGCGACGTGGGTTTACACTGGTTCTCCGCCTCCTCATCCTCCCTCTGCCCTCCCTGTGTTCTCCTCCTCCCTCTTCTATCCGTTCCCCTTCCTCTCCATTCAGGCAACCCCATTCGTTCAGCCCTACCCAGAAGGGATACCAATTGGGATCCCGTCTGTAAGCCAGTTTCGAACCCTGGCTCATCCTCCCCTCCTCTCCCTCCACGTTCTGCTTCTCCTTCTTCTGGGGTTGGCGGAGAAGGAGGAGGCGGAGGAGGAGGAGGAGGAGGGGAGGAGGAGGAGGAGGAGGAGAAGTTCGAGTCTGGCAGGCGTTGCGGGCTGCGGTCTCGGTGACCCCCCCTGACGAGGTGTGCGGCTACAGCACCCGCAGACTCTGGACGGCGTGGCAGCATGCCTTTCTCTGGCATCTGGGCCGCCGTCTCGTTGCTCCGTCCTCCTCTTCGGTCCTCCGTCATCCCCATCATCATCGTCATCATCGCCATCATCATCACCATCTTCATCATGAGCATCACGGTCATCACCACAGCATCCTTGACATACATCGTGTTCTTCGGCATCGTAATCCAGATTGTTCCCACCCCACCCCCATCACCATCATCATCGTTCCCCCCTTGTAGATCCTCCTCGTTCGCGTTGGTAGCATCCTTGGTCTCATCCTCGTTACGCCTTATCAGCATTGTTAATAATAGTACTGTTCATCTCCGACTCCTATTATTTCTTCCTCGTACTCCTTATCGGTGCCGGTCCTCTTTCTAATCGTTCTTTTTTTCTGCTGCGCCGTTTCCCCTCATCGTCATTATCCACCTTCTCCTGTGAGTCGTAAGAGGAGGAGGAGGAGGAGGAGGAGGAGGAGGAGGAGGAAGAGGAGGAGGAGGAGGAGGAGGCGGAGGAGAACGGCGACAAGTCGTCCCCCGTTGCTAGGACTGTGGGCAGCGGGAGGTTCTGGTTCGCGGTGTGGATGGTCGCATGCACGGCCGTGGCCGGCCTCGTGCAGGAGGTAGTCGGGCCGTACGTCTTCTTCTACGAGTGAGTGCCGCGCCACATTTATCCCCCAGGAAAGAGGACGAGCATCAGCAGGAGGAGGAGGATGATGATGAGGAGCAGGAGGAGAAGGAGAGGAGGGCGATGGGGAGAAGGAGGGAGTAGTAAGCAGGATAATGAGGGGGATGAAGAAAGGGGGAGAGAAGTGAGAGGTGGGTAAAAGCAGGCTCCATCCTACTTTGCTCCCCTCCCTCCCTCCCTCATCGTCCCCGTTGTCCCACGCATCCTCGCCCTCCTATGAACCTCTTCCTGCCCCCCCTCCTCGTCCTCCTCCTCCTCCACTTCCTCCTCCTCCTCTTCCTCCTCCTCCTCCTCCTCCTCCTCCTCCTCCTCTTCCTTCGCCCAACCCCTCCTCGGTCCAGTGATCGACGGCTGTGGTAGCGCTCCCTCGGGCGAGGGCTCAGGGCTACCAGTGGCAGTAGAGGGCAGACGGCCTGGAGCTCGACCGTTCAGACTCCACATGCGCGCTCGCCGCCTGTTCCTGATGCGCGATGGGGCCCTACCTCCCCAGGCCCCCTCGAGCTATGAAAAAAACACAACGCCAGGTTTTTCGCTATTGTCGGCCTCCAGGGGCCCTCACCGGCCCTCGGGACCGTCAAAAAACGACTCAGGATGAAAAATTGGTCCCGGTGACTGGGTCGGATCTTTTGGGGGTCGACGTGATGAAAAATTCATGTTGTCGAAGTCTGGGTCTCCTCCTCCTCCTCCCTGCCAAGGGGAGGACAAGGGGGATGCGGCGCTCCAGGAATGCTGGCGCTCCAGGCTCGTATTTTGGCCCGTGAGACGGCGGCGGCAGCAAGGCCTGCCTCTGAGACTCAGGCGAGCCATCATGATCGGCTCAGTTACAGCTAAATCGTTCAGGCCTGCGGGATCGCTGATGAAAAACAAGGGGGATGCGGACGAGGACGAGCAGCGGGGGGAAACCGAGGAGAAGGATCACGCGGATGACGAAGAGGAGGAGGCGAAGCAGCAACACAACCAGGAAGAGGCAACGGATGACTAGGAGGACGAGGAGGGGATGACAACACGGATGATGAGGACCATCCCGTCGTCCTTCTTCTCTTTCCCCCTCGTCCTCCGCGTCATTCCTTTGCACGCCTACATGACCAGTGTACATCTTGGACCAGGTATCTGTTGACCTGTCTCGTTTCCTCCGCGGCGCGAATTCTCCCTCCCACCCTGGCTCCCCCCCTGACCCCGGGTCAGGGAGACAGGAGTTTTGGAGGAGCTCCCCTGTGACATGGGACGTTGTCTGCCTGACCGTCCTCCCTCCTCCCTCCGCCTTCTCTTCCCCAGCACTTCTCCTGCACATTCCCTTTAATGTCCAGTGCTCCCCCCCTCCCCCCCGCCCCACCCGCCCCCGCGATCACTACTCGTCCTGAGTGCTGCTTTCCTTTGCCCTCTGACTGCGTGATTGTCTGCATCAGTGCACTCCCACTCCCTGCCACCTGCCTACTCTGCCACGCCTACGCGTGCTCGCTCCAGGACGCTCGTTCAGAGCAGGTTTGACCGGATGCGTGGCCCACAAACACTTGACAATCACGACCCGGGACTCCAAAAATTACCCCCTGGATTTCTTCAAGAATTCTCCCATCGCCCCTGAGATCTGACGCCGCGAACAAAAAAAGACTGCATGGCAACGTGGTGAGCAATCACGACCTGGGCCACAGACCCCAACTGTCCTGCGGCAATGCCTCGAGGCCGCATCGGTCATGTGAGGGCCCCGCTGCCCGAAGGTGGGCGAGAGCGCCCAGCGTGAACCTAGCCGATGCGACGCCCATATCTCAGGGGAGTGTGGTGCCCGCCTTCTCCTGGATCGGGTGAGGAGGAGGAGGAGGAGGAGGAGGAGGAGTGTGGAGGGAGAGGGAGAGGGGAAAGATAGGAGCAGGCGAGGGAGGATATGGAGGAGGAGGAGGAGGAGGAGACAGGAGGAGAGAAGAGTCATTGGAGGGGAAAGAGGAGCGAGGAGGGAGAGATGCATGTGGAGGGGAGGGTGAGGGGAAGGGTAAACCTTTGAGGAGGAGGAGGAGGAGGAGGAGGAGGAGGAGGAGGAGGAGGAGGAGGAAGTGGAGGAGGACGAAGAGGGGGAGGAGGAGGACGAGGAGGAGGAGGAGGACGAGGAGGAGGAGGAGGGAGGAGTCTTAGGGATTATGGCATCACGTAGCGATAGAACAAACAAGCCACGCCTCACCTGACCTCCATGCGCTGCAAGATGAAGGCCAGCACGAAGAGCATACCGGAGATGGCGGGAACGCGCGGATACCGGCAACAGTACCTCCAAGGGCGACCATGTTCATTCATTCCGCTTGAAAACGCCATGTCGACCCGGTAGAGACATTGTTGAGCAAATTGACCGTGTAGTTATGATGAATGCCGAACGGGCATGACAAGGTCCTGCAACCACAGGTTTCCGCACCAGCACGAAACACACGAGGCCGTACATCCAGCTTGCTAGTCCCAGCGGCAGACATACAACAAAATTCCCAGCGCCCACTTGACAAACAACGGACCCACAACGGCACCACGGCACTGGGGCCGCGTTTGAAATTCGGCTTTTCACCCCAATCCGACCAAGACGAAACAAGAGGAGTTTGAGCGGGACGAGGATGAACGGCGCGATACCCAGGGTGAAGGACTTAAGCTTGACGTGCCTCCCTCGCTCTGCAAAAACAACAAACAAGTTCCCAAGCGTGTTGGGCAAACATATCCGTACATCTGTACAACAACAGCGAGCTGACATATCTACAACATCGAGTACACCAAATGCTCAACCAAAGCCCCACGAGCTCGTAGCAATAGGAATAAGATGAGAAGCGCGCGCCAACACACAACCAGCGCACCTCGCGTGAAGCAGGCAAGCTTGCGCCTGCTCACAACATTGTAGCGTACCAGCGCCGCATCGAATGACACAGGGTCGAAGCGCAAGACGACTCCCGCCAAACGCCACCGAGATTGACGGCAGAGCCAAGCTGCGGTTGACCTGATGCCCCCAGAGAACCACGTAAATGCGCGAGGCTTGGTCTCGAGCCAACATAGATTGTTCTAGCCCGAGTGCCTTTGGCCAGAATGGTTTCGGAGCAGGGGGAAGGATGGAGAAGGAGATGAGAGGAGGAGGAGGATGAAGAGGAGGAGGAGGACGATGAGGACGAGGAGGGAGAAGGCGGGGGAGAGGAATAAAAGGAGGAGGAGGAGGAGGAGAACAAGGGGGAGGAGGAGGAGAAGGAGGGAGTGGAGGATGAGGGAGGCTGAATAGAAAGGAGGAGGAGATGAGAGGAATTGGAGGGAGGAGATAGAAAAGGAGGAGGAGGAGGAGGAGGAGGAGGAGGGAGGCGGAGGAGGAAAAAGGAGGAGGAGGAGGAAGAGGAGAAGGGGGAGCGGAATTATAGGAGGAGGAGGAGAAGGAGGGGGAGGGGAATCAGATGGGAGGAGGAGGAGGAGGAGGAGGAGGAGGAGGAGGAGGAGGAGGAGGAAGAGGAGTAGGGAGGAGGAGCTAAGAGGAAGGAGGGAGGAGGAGGAGGAGGAGGGATGAGAAGAAGCGGCATCCTCCAACCTCCCACTTCATGCAATCCCGGGCCAGGGCCACGCCTTGCCACAGCCGCCCGCGCGCCCGCGCGCTGCCCGCAGGAGTCGTGGACCCGGGGACCGGGAGGCGCGCCCGCCTCGCGCCCAAGGGAGGGCCAACGAGGAGGAGGACGAGGAGCAAAAGGAGGATGAGGAGGGGGAGGGGGAGGCGGAGGAGGAAATAGGCCAACGAGGAGGAAGAGGGGGAGGAGGAGGAAGACAAGCTAGGTGCGCTCGCGTCATATCTGACATCCTACCCCTCCCTCCCATCCCTTACCATGGCGTAGATCCCCTCTCTACTCGCACAGTCGGATGTCGAGCAGGGCAATGATCCCGAAAGGGTACGCGATGCATTGTAGAGCACGGCATGGCATGGCGTAGAAGAGCACCGCAAAGCGTAGCATCAACCTAGCATTGCATTGCATGCCGTGGCATGGCACGGGAAATGACGCCAGCGCTTGCAGCGGGAGCACGAGTCGAAACGAGCGGAAGCGCGGAAATGAGGCCAGCGCTGCAGCGGGAGCACGATTCGGAACGAGCGGAAGCACGGAAATGAGGCCAGCGCTGCAGCGGGAGCACGATTCGGAACGAGCGGGGCCCGAAAATGAGGCCGGCGCCTCAGCGAGAGCAGCATTTTGAAAAAATGCAGGCGAAAACCCAACTCCGGGGAAACCTGTGTTTAAAAAAGACAATACGCGGGGGGGGGGTCGAGCACTTTCAAACCGTCATCAGGGGAAGAGGGAGAGTAGTATTCATATTGAGCAATTGTGGAGGAGGGGGAGGAGGAGGAGGAGGAGGAGGAGGAGGAGGAGGAGGAGGAGGAGGAGGAGGAGGAGGAGGAAGAGGAAGAGGAGGAGGGGGAGGGGGAGGAAGAGGAGGAGGAGGAGGAGGAGGAGGCGGCGGAGGAGGGACGGGGAGGAGGAGGGGGAGGAGGAGGAGGAGGAGGAGGAGGAGACGGAGGAGGAGGAAGAGGAGGAGGAGGAGGAGGATCAGCAGGAGGGGGAGGAGGAGGAGAGGAGGAGGAAGACGAGGAGGAGGAGGAAGAGGAGGAAGGGGGAGGAGGGGCGAGGAAGAGGAAGGCAGGACCGAAGTCCGTGAGTAGGAGGAGGATTGCGAGGGTATCGGTCCTCCCCCACCATTCTCTTTCCTTCTAAGTAATGTCTTCCTGTCGCACCCCGAGGCCAGTTTTTAGGGCGGACCGGGCGTTTCCCCTGAGATGTTCTCACCACTTATGACCCTGAAGCTTAAACGTTGGAAACAGTTTCACAGATGGAGGGCGGGTGGTTTTCAAAATGTGGCTCTCGCCTTAGCGCCGCGCACATTCGATGCTACAAATTACAAGAGTTTCACGTCTTCCCATGATCAACGTACCAGACAGAGTGTTTTGAACAGACTCAGGATTATGCGGGCGCAAGAGTTACGTTGATTCGCGGTGGTAAAGTCCCAGGAACGTTATTCTGGTACGATTCAGGCTCGTCAAGATGCAACATTCAGGTTGATCCGTGGCGTTGGAATCCCGAGAACACTGTTTTGGCATGCTTCGGAATATTTAAATGGTTATTTTCCGACGAGGCAGTTCCCCCATTGGAGATGAGCCGCTTTAGGAACTTATGAAGAAGGGAGCTTGGAGGGAGGATTTATTCCAACATCGTTGATGACTCTTGGGTTTACACTAGTCCTCCTCCTCCTTGTTTTTTATCTGTCGTTGCCTCTTGGTTTTTGTCCGCCCTGCCCCCGCAGGTCGCGGGGGGAGGGGCTCGAGGGCATCGGCGCTTCGACGAGAACTCGTCCGCATCACCCAGTCACCGAGGAGGAGGAGGAGGAGGAGGAAGAGGAGGAAGAGGGTAGGACCGAAGTCAGTGAACAAGGGGAGGAGGGGGAGGCAGTGTATCATCGTCATCCTGCTTCCATCCTCTTCGCTCTCTTTACATATTGGTTCTTGTTGCCCCTCCCACCAGTGCTCCGGTGGGAGGGGCTCGAGGGCCGCATTCGTCGTAGAGAGAAAGGCCCGGAGCTCGAAGCCCGAAACTCGAAGCAGGAGGAAGAGGAGGAGGGGGAGGAGGAGGAGGAGGAGGAGGAGGAGGACAAACGGAAGAAAGAAAGCAAAAACACAGGAGGGAGGAGGAGAGGGGAGGGTAGGACAGGGGGGGGCGGTGGGACAGCTTTAGCACGACGAGGACGGCCCTTCACTCTAAAGCGAGCTGAGGGACGTAAGGAGTGGAAGCGAGCGTGCGCCCGCGGCCGCGTCGGCTCAAGCGGCCGGCCGCCCAAATTTGACTGCGCCTCACTGCGAGGCACACGGTCGCGATCGAGACCAA